GCCACACTTATTTGTTAATATTATCAACAAATGTCACTGTAAATAACTTAAAGTTAAAGCTGCAGTAAGTAATTTTTGAGGAACACCGTTTAAAGTGTATCGAACCGAGCACCACAATGCACTTGGGAGGAGAGTGAGCAAGAGGGAGATTTGGAGAAAGACTGTAGAAAGAGAGAGAGCTGAGAGACATTACAAAAGAAAAAAAGGTCACTGGGAAATGAAAGGTTATGATCAGGTTAGAGCTTTAGGACCAGCGTTAAAGGAGAACTCCGGGAAACAATGAGCCTTTGTTCTAATAAAACATCGGTACCTAGTCAATCGTTCTCTGAGATTTGTTTTCATGATAATCGAATGTAAAGAGTTTTATTTCTAAAAACTGTTTAGCACTTAATGCTAGTAATGGGGGCATTTACTAAGTAAAAAGAAATGGCTAGTTAATACCACTAACAAGCCTCAAAATAGCTCAACACTAACACTGTAACATAATGAGGGTCCATACATGCAAAACGAAGCATTGAGAACTTTGTAAGTGTACAGACCGTTTAATAAGAAGATACTTTATAAAGACAGTTCACTGCGTGTATACAGACAGGAGCTATCTTAGAAAATAGTCTCGATAAGTCGATCCCCGAACGCCGTCCATACAGTTTAGAAGTTCGCTGATCTTCATACAGTTCAGATCACTCAGCACGACGTTCATGGTTTGACTTGTCGTGACTCTTTTCCAAGATGGCTCCTGTCTGTATACACGAAGTGAACGGTCTATAACATATCTTCTTATTAAACTGTCTGAACACTTACAAAGTTCTCAATGCTTCGTTTTGCATGTATGGTCCCTCACCGAGGTTTTCGTTGTTTCTGCTCTATACACGAGTAATATTGGTTTTGCCATGTTTCACGATTTTGGCTATATGGGGATGCTCAGTGTCTGATTTAAAGGGTTAGTTCACCCAAAAATGAAAATTCTGTCAGTAATTACTCACGCTAATGTTGTTCCAACCCCGTAAGACCTTTGTTCATCTTCAGAACACAAATTAAGATATTTTTGATGAAATCTGAGAGCTGGATCACTCCTGCATACTAGTCCATAGGCTTCTTGAGGAATTGAAATTTGCTGGCCTCGAAAAGTTATTACATACATCTTTAAAATAGTCCAAGTGACTTCAGTGGCTCAATCTTAACTTTATCAAATGATGAGAACACTTTTTGTGCGCAAAAACAAAGAAAAATAACGATTTTATTTCAACTATTCACTTCCTTCTCTATGCGCCCCTAGTCAGTTAACGTAGTGTGATAGCGTAGAGCTACGTCACACGTAGGCTCACTATTGGCCGGCGCTGGTCATGTGTGTGATGCGTGTGACGTACAACAACAGATCATATGCTATTAAACTAGTAATCTGACTCAAGGCAGAGAGAAAAGTAAATAAATAGTTGAAATAATGTCTTTATTTTTGTTGTTTTTTGCACACAAAAAGTGTTCTCGTCGATTGATAAAGTTAAGATTGAGCCCCTGAAGTCACTTGGACTATTTTAACGATGTCTATAGTAACTTTTCGAGGCCAGCAATTCAATTCCTCAAGAGGCCTATGGACTACTATGCAGGAGTGATCCAGACTCAGATTTAATCAAAATTATCTTAATTCGTGTTCCAAATACGAACGAAGGTCTTACTGGGTTTTCTGTCAATACGTTAATATACAGCCTATTATGCTAATGCTGTAAATAAAAAAATGTACAAAAAAAGAATCTTTCAATAAATATTTTCACTGTGCGTGAATATATCCAAACACACATTTAAGTTTCACTTTCCATGATCCATGACCTACAGAGGAGCATATTGGCAATAGGGATTTAAATGTTTAACAATGTCTGGGATAAGAAAATCTAAAGTGTGGATGCACACAATCCAAGGCTGGATTTAGCATCAGGGAAACAAAGATCACGCTTCTGCCAGCCAACGTTAACAAGCTCCAACTCCTTGGGACATTCAAATGTGAAAAAAAAAAAAAAAAAAACGCTTAAAGGGCCCTTTTACGTGGCTTAATAAATGTACACAGTACACACCTTATTAAGAAACCATACTAAACTGAACAATATTATAAATGTAACACTTTTGTTCTGTCACTTTTGTTCATGAGCTGAACTCAGACTTCTTCTATGTACACAAAAGGACGTTTGGTTGATATTGGCAGGACCTGGAGCATATATACGCCGATCCAGAGCATCCCAAAACACGCACACAATTTAAAAAGATTCAAACGGACACAGGTAGAGTGAAAAACTGGATTTTTCTTTCTATCAGGTATGAGTACAAGTGATTTCAAAACATTTCAGCAAGTTCCAATTGGATTTTTGGGTGCTGTGAACAGGTTTAGCAAAAAATCTTGCCACTCCATTTTAGCGTTTATTGTTGTCGTTCCTGCAGTTAAAAAGACAAAGTTGGCAATTCGGGCTATACTTTCGTTATTTAAATAATTGCTTTATTTTTATTTTATTTATTGACCACTTAGGGTTATCTTATTTAACTATTTGTGGCTTGCGTTTTGAATACGTTTCCCTGCACTTTAGGCATTTTGCACACATTTAGGGGACTTCATCTTGGGACTTGATTCGGAGTTATTTTGGGGTTTTTTTTTTTATTTGTTTAAAGGTATATTCTGTTCTAATTTAATTCTATAAATTAATTTATTGTTTTTTTGGTACATATTGATGCTCACAAAGGTAATTTAGCCAATTTAATTTGATTTGCATGTGAAATGCAAATCATGTCTGCAGTGTGGTCTTTCTACAGTTATTTGTTATTCCTTAGTTTTATTGATCCGAAATGTTTTTACACATTTCTTCTATATCTTTGTGTGATGTTCTGTACATCGCGGCCTTAAAATGTTAAAGCTCCCCCCAACTTCACTTGGGGGTGGAGCGAAGAAATGTGTTTGTTTGGGTCGTGTTCAACAATGTTTCTCAGAAATCAATCTTGAAATTTACAGTGATTAGACATTTTTGTTCATTAATAAATTAAACGGGCATTAATCATGTGCACACATTTAACTTTTTATATTAGCTCATTAAGAGAGGTCCAAAAACCACACTGAAAATCTGGGATCAAAACTATAACTTAAAAAAACAAAACAAAGAACGAGACTTCCTTAGATTTCCACGACGCATGCGCGAGAATTGCGATCTGCTTACACCAGCTTAAACTACTTCAGATCGCAATTCTCGCGCATGCGTCGTGGAAATCTAAGGAAGTCTCGTTCTGGCCTACAAGGAAGAAAATAAATAGTTGAATAAACTCGTTATTTTTGTTTGTTTTTTCGCACAAAAAGTATTCGCGTCGCTTGATAAACATATAGTTGAGCCACGGTAGTCACTTGGGATATTTAAACATTTTCTTCATTGACTTTCTGGGCCGTCAAGAGGCGGTCCTTTAGGAGCCAATGTGGTAGTTATACAGCTCTCAAATTTAATCAAAAATATCTTCATTTGTGTTCCGAAGACGAACAAAGGTCTTACGGGGTTGGTACAGCATGGGGGTGAGTAATTAATGACTTAATTTTCATTTTTGGGTGAACTAACCCTTTAATTAAACCAGTATTTCCACTTGCCATTATGCAGCAATTACTATGATAATGTTGACCAAGTGGATCAGGAATTCTGAGCTGGTGTGAGTGAGTGGAGGCAAGGACTAATATGCATATTCATAGATCATGGATTTTTCCACAGGGATACATCATAAATATATCATTTTGGTGAAAAAAGATGAGCTTTAATGAATACAATTTACTACAAAGCAGAAGAACTTTAACTAAAACTAGGATTTTGATGAATACAAACATAAGTTACAGTATTATAAGAGGAATAAGAAATATGATTCTGTACCTCTGAGTTACTAATATCATGCATGTACATTTGTGACATTTATCATGAGAATCATCATGTTATTATAGGCTACACAAACTTATGGAGTTCATAGTTGGAGTTCTGCTGTCATTAAAGCGAATGGGGGGACATTTTATTTTCAGATTTCAATCTGAAATTAAGATTATAACGCAAACATTATAAATGAACACAACTAAGAAAGAAGAAAAATAGAAGCATTTTTAAGGGTTTCAGTCTTTTGTATTGGATCTATGGATGAATGATTCTCTAGTCCATCGAATCGTGAGCAGAAGAAGTAAAACTCACCTGTGCCTCTGCAACAATGCTTTTCCTTCAAACTGAGGGGATACAACAAGAACTTTAAAACTGGCAGCACATCTATTGGGAGACGTGTCTTCTACATCCTGCAAGAAAAAAAAAAGGATTCTGACTAAATGCACAGAGTTTACGTATTTTCGTTAATTAACTGTTGAAATGTGAAATAGTGTGAAAATGTGATCTGTAAGTTAATTGATTCTGATTCCAGCTTCATCTGACTGTGCAGTTATTATTAAGGTTACATACCACGTGTATCGCACCAATCCCCGCGATCAGTTTTTCACGAATCAGATCTGGAGTGACTGACATATTTCCTGAGATAAAGTATAAGCTTTGGTGACGACGACGTTTTTATAAACGTTGTGGTTAATGATGTCAACGTAAGTTACAGTAGACAGCGTCGATGCCTTCTAATAATTATGCAGTAACTACCGGTATGCCTTAGAAAGGAGGAGCTTAGTAATAAATACACCCATTTTGACTTGGAATGTTACAGAGGCCACGCCTCTTAAAAAGAAATGACCAATCCATTTATCGAAGTGTTTACCAGAGGCATGCAAACTGGCCAATCAAAGCCAAGAATTTGGGGGTCCTTGTTGTTATCGGTGTTCTCTACATTTGCTTGATCGGAAAAGCCAAATTTTTATATTGGATGATGATCAAACCAAATTAAATCAATACAGAAGGTCAAATGTTTACTTGTTAATAAGGTAAAGAATAACCACACATTCAACTTAATATTTTATTCGTTTAACAAGTGACTCATGTGTCGTATATTTGGTCAGGCCATACCCGGACATCTTTAACGGGCTAGTTTGAAACGAAAAAGACGCAAGACCAAAACAACATATGAATGTTTTTGGCGATTCAAGTGGAAAAGAAAAAGAGCAGGCACTCCGTTTTTAGTCTTTAATGTGATGCCGTATGTATTGATTTTAAATAAGAAGATTATAGGATGTAGTTATAAATGGAGGCTTTGTTAAATATTGCTAAATGATTTGAAAAGATGACATGTTGGAAATAAAAATCTCTGGGTTACCAGTCCTCCCTCTGCAAAGGTTTTTGAGCTACTGTAGAAAACAGGATGGTGGTCGAGGTGGAGAGTTTCTATGGCGTGTATATGCTGTACTGTACTAACCCGAAATTCAAGGGTAGAATATATATTGGCTTCACTGTAAACCCAGAGCGCCGTATCGGTCAACACAATGCAGGACGACACCGCGGAGGAGCCAAGAGAACCAGTGGCAGAGGACCGTGGTGAGATATCATCTCAACATTTCACATTAGTCAAGGCATTTTATGAAAAAAAAGTTTGAACAAAGTGCAATAGAAGCAAACTCGACTGATTTTGTATCCTCTTTGGGGCTTTTTTTCCTTAATCGGGACATATTGAGGAATCCTCAATATATCCCGAGTAAGGAAAAAAAGCCCCAAAGAATCCCAATAGGTGAATGTTTAGAAATAGACCGAAATATATCCCATTTATTCGCATATTCGTTCTTTTACTCACGTGAAAAGGGTAAAAATTTTAACCTTTAGACATCATCACGAAAATCACTGATTTGAATACTTGCATCAAGACAAACAAAAAATGTATTACAAGTTGTTTGCAATTTGTTAACATGGACAAATGGTGCATAATCTAATGTGCTAATTTGCATAATTACCCAAACAGATCTAAATATTGGGTAAAGCAGGTGAATTTTTTTTTTTTTTTAATCTTGTTGACATATAACAGTAAGGTCTGAATGGAACCCATTTAGATGAACAATGAACATTAATACAGGAAGAAATACTTTAGAAACCAGCTTTATTAATTATTATGGCAGAGATGGGGTTTGGGCATTGAGTGCATTGTATACGTAATCAGATTTTTTGATCCAGACACTTTTTATTTCACCTAGCCTACCCTTTGTCTTCTGCATTCTCCTTACCCATGTCTCCTGTTCTTCCCTCAGACTCATCCCCCAGAAACAGTGCCACTGACCCAGCCCCAAAAGCCATCTTTGCCATAATAATCAATAAAGGCTGGTTTCTTAAGTACTTCTTCCTGCATTGATGTTCATGGGTAGCCTAAATGGGTTCCATTCAGACCTTGACATTAAATAGTTTACTGTTATATGTCAAAAAAAAAAATTATACAAGACATTTTCACCTGCTATATACCCAATGTTTAGATCTGTTTGGGGATTTACACAAATGTAATTAGATTATGCACCATTTGTCCATGTTAACAAACAATTGCAAAAAAAAAAATGTAATCCAATTTTTATTTGTCTTGATGTAAGTAATCAACTCAGTGATTTTCATGATGATATCTAAAGGTTAAAATTTTTATACTTTTCACGTGAGAAAAAGAATGAATGGGTGAATGAATCGGGTATGTTTAGGTCTTTTTCTAAACTTTCCCCTAATGGGATTCTTCTGGGCTTTGCAAAATCAGTTTAGTTTGCTTCTGTTGCAATTCAAGGTTGACCCCCATTTTGGCTTAAAATGACTGGACTACATGGCGAACATATTAAGACCATAATAAAATTTAAGATAAATGGTAAGTAACACTTTACAATAAGGTTCATTATTTACTATTAACTAATGAACAATACTTCAGCATTTGTTAATCTTTGTGAATGTTCTTTTCAACATTTACTAAAAACATTAGTTAATACACAGAACTAACACGAACAAACAATGAACAGCTGGATTTGCATTTAACGATAACAATGATTAACAAAAACAGTAACAAATGTATTGCTCATGGCTATTTCATGTTAGTTAAAACATTAACTAATGTTTAATAAATTAACCTTATTGTAAAGTGCGACCAAGATAATAAATATTAAGAGATCTGTAGAACTGGTTTGGTAGTAAATGTAAGTTTTTTATTCATTTTAAGGGAGATGGTTCTTATCATCCATGGCTTTCCATCTGATATTGCAGCTCTTCGGGTAAATATACTATTCTGTTTGTGTTATATCTTTTCTCTCATTTCCCCTTTGTACAAAATTATCTTCTCTATGCTTACTTTAAAACTAAACTATGTACCGTTTTGACAAAAGAAATGTTATTAACAAGAGAGTGCAGGGGACAAAATGTTCCATACCATTCTAGGGTGTGTCCAGAATCACATACTCCCTACTATGTTGTAGGTGGAAAACAGTATGTGACAGAGGTATGTCTGAATTCACAGTACTCATAAAAGAGTTGTCCGGCTACTTCCAGCGAGATTCTGAAGTGTGCATATGATGGACACTTTACTATCTCTTGAGGCCACGGAAGAGGATTTGTGAATTGACAGTGAAGTGACGTTGACGCTGATAGGTCACATGATGTCAGTGACAACATGGTGAATGTAGTACATCCAGATTGTATTCACAAAATGCACATTCTTTATACTATAGAGAACATACTATTTTAGCACTGTAAATTTACGTACTTATTTAAAATAAGTACGTTCTTTACCACAAATGCAGCCAGAGTAATATCTGTAGACAGAAAGGCCCTGTCCAAAATTAAAACCTAAGCTATCACATTCTTGTTCCAAGTCCACACTCCGTTTTTTCTTGTTTAGCGGCGTTTTACATCCAGCTTATTTGTGTGTTACCACCAACTCGGCTCCATTGTGTGGATCTTTCCCACCAACACACAAACACAAGCTTAATCGGCTAAAGAAACAATTAAGAAAAATTCCTAGGCTCCATCCAAAATTGTATTCTTCCCTATTATATATGCGAAAAACAGTATGAGACAAAAGAATGTCCGAATTCAAAGTACTCATAAAAGGCTATGCAAAAAGTATCCAGATGACCTACAGTACTGTTTCCCACGAGATTCTGAAGTGTGGCCTCTGGCCAAAAAATCCTCAGATGACGCAAAATGATGATTTCTGCGTCATCGGAGGATTTTTTCCAAACAAAAAATACATAAATCTCTTGTCTCAGTGGGATATGAGGGTGGAAAGCATGGTAATTCGAAAATACTACAGGTTTTCTACTAATAGAAAGCTTAATGCTAAATCCTAAAGTATCCCTTTAATGGTGCTTTGACTGTTGGGTAGAAATCTGCTGTGGAGCTCACATCAGAGCCGCCTCGGCAAAAGTGGACATCAAGGTGACTTATTGTGTGCAAAACTGGCTAAAAAATAGAAATATAATTTATATATTTCTATTTAATCTTACTTTACTAACCAATGTCTTTGCTGCTGAGCATAGATGATTCAATCCAACCATATCAATAAGCTAAAAAGACTAGATAAAACATAAAGTGAGCCATTTCGGACAGGGCCAGAAAAGTAGCTGTGGCTGTGGGTTGCGTGAAGTTAAAAGTTGGTTGTCACAACGAACCAGAGAAATTTATAATGAATCATTTAAAACCCGCTCTGATAAGATGATTTGTATCCATGTGTGTACACTGGTGCCTCGAATCACATTCATCTGAGGAGCACAGTTGACAACCAAACAACCAAAACAATATTTATACAGGGCTGAGGCCCGAAAGTTAGGTAGTTTGGCATTAATAAGAATAGTAACACTTTACAATAAGGTTCATTAGTTAACATTCATTTATTTAGTAACTAACAATGAGCTAAACATTTGTTATGGTATTTGTTAATCTTTGTTAAAGGGATAGCTCACTTTGAAATACATTTTTGGTATGTTTTAGCTTACCTCAAGGGCTTCCAACGTGTAGGTATCTTTGTTTCCGCAGTAGTTTCAATTTTGATATTTTTAGGTCAAACCATTCTTGTCTGTGTCTATAGTCACCACTCGTAAATGTAAGTACACACTGATGGCCTAAGACACGAAACGAGCAGTTTGTGTGAGAGAACAAACATTATAGTTTTTACCTCTTGTAACCACAGCCACAAAGCACCCACGCCCTCAGATCACTTGGACGTGGCTGTGGTTACAAGAGGTAAAAACGATAAAAATACTGTTTGTTTCTCACACAAACCGCTCGTTTCGTGTCTTAGGCCATCAATGTGTACTTACATTTATGAGTCATTAAATCATGTTTAATTTTGACTTCTCTGTGCATGCTCTTTGAGGTGGTGACCATAGACCTCCATTATATGACTGATAGACACGAACAGTTTGACCTAAAAATATCAAAATTGAAACTACTGCGGAAACAAAGACACCTACATCTTGGATGCCCTTGAGATAAGCTAAAACATACCAAAAATTAATTTCAAAGTGAACTATCCCTAATAAAAATCCAGCTGTTCATCAGTTGTTCATGTTAGTTCAAGAGTTTACTAAAGTATTAGTAAATGTTGAAATTAATATTAAGATTAATAAATACTGTATAAGTGCATTTCATTATTAGTTGAACAATTGAACCTTATTGTAAAGTGTTACCATAATAATAATACAAAAATTGTTCAAACAGATTGATTCATATAATTGTATAAGAGTAATGAAAATAATTGAATGAAAAAATCAAATTAAACTGTAAAACATCCAGACACATTACAGTAATAACCATCATCTTTCCTCTGCTAGTTTGAGTGGGCTTGGCAGCATCCGCACACCTCTCGTCGTCTATCCCATGTTGCCCGGCGCAGCCGTAAAGAGTCCAGTTTGCAGTTCCACTGGCGTGTGGTGTCAAACATGCTTCAGGTGGTGCCGTGGAATCGACTCCCCCTCACTGTGCGCTGGCTAAAGCAGGAGTACCGGATGGATTTTGCCCCTGTGCTGCAGCCTCCTCTGCACATTCCTCTAGCGTTTGGCTGTGTTCGTGCTAAGAAGAAACCGCAGCAGATGTGTGAGGAGCAAGAGGAGAGACCGGTGGAGCGGTGTGTGTTGTGTGGGGTGTTTGTTAAGGTTAGTTTCACTTTGCTTTTTTTTTTAAAGAAACCAGTTCAAAATGTTGCTGGAATAACTGTCTCAATCCTTTTTTTCTTTTTTTTGGTGATTTCAGACTGTGGATAGACTATCTTGTTTCCACCCTTCCTGTCATATGGTTTGTCATTTGATTTGCCTGGCTAAACACTTTCTGAAGGCAGACTCTTCCCACCTACTTCCTGTCGAGGGAAAGTGTCCTGGCTGTCATCACTCTGTGCTGTGGGGGAGTTTAATACGCCATAAAAACGGCTGTTATGGTGATTTGGAAGAAATTACCTCCTCCTCATCTCAGGTCAGCTTTAATATGGGATCAGTGTGTATTAAAGGAATAGTTCACTATAAAATGAAAATTCTGTCATAATTTGCTCATCCTCAAGTGGTTTCAAACCTGTATGGATTTCTTTTTTTCTGCTGAACAGATAAGAATATATTTTGAAGAATGTATGTAACCAAACAGTTGATGGACCCCATTGACTTGCAAAAAACTATGGAAGTCAATGGGGTCCATCAACTGTTTGGTTACCGACATTCTTCAAAATATAGAAATTCATACAGGTTTGAAACAACTTGAGGGTGAGTAAAGTATGACTGAATTTTCATTTTTAAGGCGAGACACGGCAGGAAAAAATGTTTTTTTTTTTTTTCACTGGTCGATTTTGAGATTTTGGGATATTTGTCTTCAATAACATGTCTTCTTTCAGACTTGTGGTGAAAAAAAGTCTGAAATACACATTTAGGTCTTTATTTTACTACACTTTGTATGTTTGCGTCTGTAGATTTCTCATAAACTCTTCAAAAGTTGTCGTTATAAATCATCCTGCTGATCTGCACCCTGTCATTACACACACAGTTGAGAAAGCTCTCTTTCTCCTGTACAACGCTGTTGGATCCAAATATGGTAATTTCCTTTATATCAGCAGCCAATCATGAAAGTAAAAGGGGATTTAACTCTAAATGCGCGATCTCATTGGCTGATGCTTAATCTTTAAGGCAAGTTTTCTAAAAATGACTTTTCTCTCATACTCCAAGTCCGAAATCTCCACTTTTTCATTTACAGAGGGATTTATAAATATATTATTCCTAGCCTGATTTATATAACATTTTATTCCAAAAAATCATTTTTTAAGGCAACTGGCTGTATATTCTGATTTACAGGATAACAAAAGTAGATATTCATAAATCCCTCTGTAATTTTTTCTCATCTAATATGTGAACACAATGAAAAAAGAATTTTGAACCTGGCTTTATCCAATACTCAGATTTAGTTTTTATATATATATATATATATATATATCCAAATTAGTGCATATTTAATTAGATAATACTTCATTTGCATATTTAAACATTAAATTACAGCAAATTTGTAATATTTTCTATTCTAAATGTAGGTAATCAACTGAGGAAGTTCCATGGTGATATCTGCTAGTTAAAAAAAAATTACCCTATTCACCTGTAGTGTCTCGCCTTAAGTGAACTATTCCTTTAATATGTGTTTTCAATAAATGTAACCATTTCATTAAAACCCCAACATGGATTGAAATTATTACAAACATATGTTCAGTTATTTTACAGAGATGTCATATATAGATAGTGATGCATGACAGTGAAAGGTATTAAAACTGTACATGGAGTGAAGTGAAAGCTGCAGCTATTAGCAAGACAAGTTTAAAGAACGGATGTAACTCACTAATGGCTCTTTATTCTTTTAAACAGAATCATTGGACAGATGAACTACAGCTGTGAAGAAAATGTGATACAGGCTTTTCTGCATTTTTTTGAGAAGTAATCATCGGACTGGATAATGACAGCTCATTGAGGTCAAGGCATCTACATTCTAAGAATTGTGGAATTAACAAGGATTTACAGAATGAGATCAAGCATTTCACTCAGTTGGATCTTTTGAAATAAAAGGATCTTCAGACATATTTTAAAATATGAAATACAATATTTTAATTCAGCAATAATAATTGTTACAGCATTGTGTGTAAGCTCAGTCATGAAGTTTTAAAATGTGTTTATTTTTTATCTGACATCATGTTATATTTATTAAACAATAAATCATTGTGTGTGTGTGTCATTATTTTCTCCCTATTCCTTGGTTGCAATGTTGAATTATCACTCAAACAAATGTTTAATTTTTATGGTTAAACAAGATGGAAAGAGGTGAACATTAGTAATAATCTATAAGCTGTGAGGATGATTATTGATGCAATGAATAAAGGCTGAAGAATGAAATGTGTAAACTGCAGCTCAGTAGCTTTTTATTTTCGAGTAGTTGTAATAGCGAGTTTGAGGCAGGATTACCTGTGCAGACAAGGAGGATGTCTGAAAGTAATCATAACAGTTCTCACAATTATAATTGTTTTTAATACTGATGATCAGTGCTATTAGTGGGACATAAACACACTAAAGTTAATAATGGTTGTGCCCTAAATAGAGATTATAAAGGCATCACTGGAGCAATAACAATTCAATGATATCTGTCTGTACATTCAATTGACAAGGTGATTCAATTCAAATGATTTTATATATTTTAGGTATAAAATAAATGTTTCATACTGAATATAAAAAAGTTCATTTAAATTAAATTATAAAAAGTGATGCAATTTTAAAAGATGTTTATGGAAACTTGTTTCCACCATAGAATGAAAAATAAAAAATGTAATTGCGACTTCTTATCTCACAATTCTGACTTCTGTTCTCACAATTGCGAGTTTACTTCTCGCAATTCTGACTATTTCTCATAATTGCGAGATGGAAGGTCAGAATTGCGTGATATAAAGTCACAATTGCGTGTTATAAATTCAAAATTGCGTGATATAAAGTCAGAATTGCGTGTTATAAAGACAGAATTGCGAGATATAGTCATAATTGCGTGGTATAAAGTCGCAATTGCGTGTTATAAAGTCAGAATTGCGAGATATAAAGTCATAATTGTGTGATATAAAGTCAGAAATGCATGATAAAGTCAGAATTTTGAGATTTAAACTATTCTGAGGGGGGAAAAAGTTAGTCTTTTTTTGCCCTTTGAATTGGCCTGAAAAGTCGCAATTGCGAGTTTATATCTCACAATTCTGAGAAAAGATGTCAGAATTTTGACATATAGGCTAAACTCGCAATTATGTGATATAAAGTCAGAATTGTGAGATGTAAACTCACAATTGTGAGAAAAAAGTCAGAATTGTGAGAAAAAAAGTCAGAATTGTGAGATAAAAAGTTGCACTTCTGTCTTTTTTTCTGCTGCCATTATGGATTGCTAACAGTGTAAAGTAAGATTAAATACATAAGTAACTTGCGTAGCATCTTTGAAAAATACTCAGATTTTTTTTTTTTTAATGTAAAAGTAATGCACTACTTTACTGGTTCCTTGAATATAGTAATCTGATTTTGTAACTCAAGTTGCTTGTAATGCGTTACTTATCCCCAATACTGTTCACAGATAGCCTACCTGAAATGCATAAATCATTCAATTCTGATACACATGTTGAACAAACAGTGGTTATATGTTGTGGATATATATATTTCTCCAGGCTCTGAAGGTCTTATCACCGAAACTGTCCTCAGCTCAGCTAGGATCGGCAGGTCTGTTAACCGTGATTACCGGCTGGAGAAAAAAAAAACACACAATGAGTGAGTTTTCATATCTTGTAAAACAGCATCTTACAACAGGATCTAGTTTGAGTTTTCACAGGGTCTTACCACACTAGACACGGGAGTGCAGCACTGAATGACCTTGCAGCAGTATGCAGCTAAAGTGCCAGAAAGGGCAATATGGACTGCCAACACCAGCTTTTGTAATGCTAGGTAATTGTCAATTCCCATCTGTGAGTAAAAAGATCAAAAAGTCAGTTGTTTATATAGCACTTTATTATACAATGCAGATTGTATCAAAGCAGCTTCACGGTAAAGTTCATCAGAAACTAACTTAATTCAAAAATCAGCATGGATTAAGAGAACTAACATTTAGCTGTGTACATATCGGGTTTGACGATTCTTCTTCAGACCAACAATGAAATATTAAGGAATGGTGAGGGTGAGCACTAAGGTGCAAGAAAAAGCAGATCACACAGCCCAAAATGGTCAAGACCTGCATTCCTAAACAGGCCTTCAGCTGGGAAAAATAAAACAATACAAACACAGTGTTATTGTATGCACCAAAACAAGGGAATTCTGCATGCTTGGTGACCAAAAGATTTTCCTTAAATAAAATTGAAATGACAAATGCACGTTTTAGTTTTTTGTTTGTTTGTTTTTTTTTGTTTGTTTTCTTATGTGTCTGGCAAAACGTTATGATCTGAAAACTTACAGTAGGGAGATGAAGATTCTGTGCAGCTATAGCCAGACTTCCAGCGATAATTGTCTACAAAAGGGAAAGATCAGGACATATATATTTAGAAAACATTCCAATTGTAGCCCTTGACTTTTCTTACTTATTTCACATTTTCATGTTGACCTTGTTTTAAAATAGCTTTATTGACAGACTGATCTGCTGTATTGGATATTATTTGGAAAAGCACACCTTCCTTTCAGGAAAACAATGTCCATTGTACAATTTGAGGCCCTCCAAAACTGCATTGTGTCAATAACAGCATGTTACGTTTTTGCAGTTTATTTTAATATTATTATTATTATTATTATTATTATTTTCATTCATTTCAGAACAATTTTACCTGTACACTGTAAAAAATAATCGTAATTTTAACGGTAAAAGACTGTAAAATTGCTACAGTGCAAAACTGTTAATTGGTTAACAGAAAGTTTCCGTACGGTAAATAACTGTGAAATAATTTTACTGTAAAATACTGTTAAGTTTTTGAAAGTGAAAAAGAACAACTCCCGTACATTGACATTCCCACAATTCCCTGCTTCACACTTCACATTTGATGTATTTTTGTTGAAATAACAATGTTTCCTCATAATTTTCTTGGGTTTTTTTCTCTAATGAGTTAGGGTTTATGTTACATTTAATGTTGTTCAATTAATGTTTATTGCATTTCTTAATTTCACGTTTGTTACCATGATGGTGTTTAATGTTTGTGTGAAAAACACTGTGCAGCTTCTATAAGTTTTAATCTACTAATGTAAGACAACTTCTGATGAGCTTTGATTGCTCATGTAACTCTCATCACTATTGTGATTATTGATGGTTGTCAGTGTATTACAATGGTACAAAACAGAAATCAATTTCTCAAAAGGTTGATATATCAACACAGCAAAAAAATGTCAGGAGATTTGTCACCATGGGTGTTAAAATTATCACTTTCCGGGTGAACATACAGGTCCATCTTTGCTAGTGTTAAAACAACACTGACGATAGTGTTTATTTTTTAAACACTGTGTTAGTGTTTCATTTAATCACTCAAGGTGTTGGAAATTATTACTCTTAAATATACACATTTAACACTTTATGGTGTTTAATCACACAACTCCAGTGTATTTTTTTATGTTGATTTAATGTTTATAATGTATACTTATTTTAAAATGGTAATGCAGATGAAGTTTAAAAAAATTAAACTTTTAAACCCGAAGATATTTTTCCAAAAACCAAGTTACTATGAATTTATTTTAACATTTATTAAAATTAAAATTTTTCAAACATACAATTGAATAAGACAACTCTCCAATGCAATACCATCTTATTATTTAAAAGAATAATTTCACTTTGAAATAAACACATCACTCTTTATTACTCTTAAAAAACTTTATTTCAAAACAATCCAAAAAGTCTGGGATCATAGTAGAATTCTGTTCACTGTAAAGTTAAAAATAAAGGCAAAATGTAAACAGTTGTTTCAAACAAACTATTTTTTTTATTAACGAACAAGCACGTTTACATTATAGGTTAATTTTTTAAATAAACGATGAATGCACAATATATGGATTTCTGTCATCAGAATTATATGATGTGATCAAATGGTGTTTAATACTTAAGTCCTGAACATATCAGTGAATGTGAGTCCTGTGTCAGTGAAGTTAATTCAGTACCTTTGACTTTGCAACAGTACAGCAGTGCTTGAGTCAAAAACATTCAGCAGATGAAAAACAGTAGCAGGATATGAGTGGATCAGCTGTATCCAGTCGCTAACAGTAAAGTTCAGTGCAGTTGTTTTACAGAGCAGAAAAGGCTGTGCAGATCCAACTTTAGTGAAAAATCGTGTAGTACTGGGTACCTAGAACACAAAACCAGATCATTTACACATTTGTGTTTCATAAATACAGCAAGTTTAGGGTGAAAAAAAGTTCAATCATCGACTCAAACAAAAAAACATTTTTGTTTGATTAAGACTTGAATTTACTGATTTCCAAGTAAATCGAAGATTTAATTAATAAAAAAAATGTAATTCTGTCATTAATTATTCACCCTTATGTTGTTCCAAACCAGTAAGAGTTTTTCTCATCTTCGAAACACTTAAAGGGTTAGTTCACCCAAAAATGAAAATTCTGACTAATTATTCACCCTCATGTTGTTCCAACCCCGTAAGAATTTCCTTCATCTTCAGGACACAAATTAAGATATTTTTGATTAAATCTGAGCTATCTCACTCCTCCATAGCCTTCTAAGGGATTGAAACTTGGCGCCAAGAAAAGTTATTAAAGACATTGTAAAAATAGACAGAGTGACTACAGTGGCTCAACCTTAAGTTTATCAAGTGACAAAAATACTTTTTGTATGCAAAAAAAAAAACCAAACTAAAAATATTAAAATTAACTATTCATTTTCTTCTGCGTGGGCCTGAGCAAGTTAACAGTGTAACAGTGCAGCGCTTCTGTGTTGTACGTCACACACACACACAACCAGCATCGGCCAATAGTGAGCCTGTGTGTGACGTACAACACTGAAGCACTGTTACACTACGAGAACCATCTCAAGGCTCACAGAGAAGCATGCATAGTTAAATAAAGTCGTAATTTCTGTTTGTTTTTGGCACACAAAGTATTCTCGTTGCTTGATAAACTTATGATTGCGCTTCTGTAGTCACTTGGACTATTTTAACAATATCTTTAATAACTTTCTGGGCTGGCAAGTTTTGATCCCTTAGAAGCCTATGGAGGAGTGAGATAGCTCAGATTTAATCAAAAATATCTTAATTTGTGTTCAGAAGATGAACGAAAGTCTTACAGGGCTGGAACAACATGAAGGTGAGTAAATACTGACAGAATTTACATTTTTGTGTGAACAGTCCCTTTAATGAAGATATTTTTAATGAAATATAAGAGATTTCTGTCCATTCATCTAAAGCCTATTCA